CTTCGCATTTAAAAAAATTGGCACATCCCACGTACAGTGGGAATCGATGATATGCGAAGCGCGAATGAGAAATGTTGATATGTCTCTGTAAAATCAGCACAACGTTAGGAGGTGGTGGTGAATGATGCCGTATATGACTTCCGTGTCATTATCGTGTTTGTATGTGTAGTTTACCTTCGTTATTTATTCACGTCACGTGATACTAAATTTAGTATATGTGAAGCTTGCGAAACGGCCGCGAACATGCTATGAGCGTGGTATGTCGTGTTGTGCTTACATGGCACGGGTGTCAGGATTATCACGTTTGCACCAGTAATATATGTCGTCATCTATTGACATCACGTAACACCAAATTTGGTATATGTGGAGCTAACAAAACAGCCGCGAGCGCGTCATGAAGGGCCCAATATACTCCAATGTAGCGTTTACGTGCGCGCACGCTGGGCACAGCGACGCAACGCCAGCAAAACCCGAGCACTCTATAGTCTGACACCAAGCGCGACCTTGCGTCCGTCGGCGCGGCCCGATGGCAACTGTAGCGAATTGTGACATGCTGCATTTCGCGTCGATGCGTCACCCAGACAACACTGCGTCTCCCTCTTTTCGTGACGGAGGGACGCCGGACATGCTGAAACGCGCATGCATCAAAACAATGCAGCGCGGCGTGCACCTGCGAGTATGTGGCAGAACCGGCGCCTGGCATGGCAACGCCAGCGTGACGCGACGAAATGAACTTCGCGAGCTCGCACATTGCGTCACGTCGAAACGTATTTGCGCCTTCACTGTGGCATGTAGTCATGTTATCACATGATACGCATCTCATTATTATCATGTTTGCACCAGTCACGTACCTTCGTCAACCATTGGCGTTACGTAATACCAAATTTGGCATATGTGAAGCTAGCGAAACGGCCGCCAGCGCACCATGAGCGTGGCATGTAGTCATGTTGTTACATGACACGCATCTCATGATTATCATGTTTTCACCAGTCTCATATTTTCGTCATTCATTCACCTACTTGTATACCAAATTTGGTATATGTGACGCTAGCGAAACGGCTGCGAGCGCATCCTGAGCATGGCATGTAGTCATGTTGTTACATGGCCCGCATGTCATGATTTTCATGTTAGGGTCTGTCGCTAGTGTTCGCCATGCAATCATGCCATACTATAATAGTTTTGCAACATGCCATGTGAACGAAGCCACCGCAAGAGCTGCAAAACTATGAAATGTAAATTTTATTTTTATTTTTTTATTAAGTACCTGCTTCGCCATAAGGCATTACAGCAGGGAGGGTTAAGTACATATGATCAAACACATAAAAAACGTTTATAAAGCATGAAGAAATCATCACTTGGATCAATAGAGACGATTTCTGGTGGCAGAGTGTTTCATTCTCTTATAGTTCGGACAAAGAAAGAGTAGCGAAAAGCGTCACCCCTAATAGGGGTGACACGCGTATTTTCAAGTGATGATCATGTCCTTGAGAAACATAGTTGGGTGGTTGTAAATACAATTGCCTGATGATCCCTGTACTCGAATGATAAATGCTATGAAAGAATTGTAATCTGAGGTTTCGACAACGGTTTGCAAGAAGATCCCGATTTAATGTTACTCTGCTGTCTGTCACACTAAGCATAATGTCGTAATTTCCAAGGACAAATCGAATCGCTCTATTCTGCATTTTTTCAAGTTTATCTGTAAGTTCCTTAGTATACGGGTCCCAGCAGACGCACGCATACTCCAGTATACTGTGGACGTGTGTAAAATAGAGCTGCTCTCTAAGTTTTTGTGGTAAACTACTGAAGTTACGTTTCAGAAAACCTAATGTTCTTACCGCCTTCTTCCTAACCTAAGTGACATGTTTATTCCATCTCAAATCAGCAGTGAAAAATACGCCTAGATATTTATATTCCGTGGCATGTTGAAGATTGACGTTATTAATCGTGTATAGAATTCTGCAGTGCGAGAGTTTTCTGGTAAAGGTGACGTGGACGCTTTTTTTCACATTCAACGACATTTTCTAATTTTCACACCATGCGGCAATTCAATATAAATCGTTTTGCAGGGCTTCTTTGTGAAGGTAGCTATTGATGACCCTATATACCATACAGTCATCTGCAAACATTCTAAATGATAATATGATACTGAAAGTGATGTCATTTATGAACAACAAAAATAAAAGCGGACCTAAGACTGATCCCTGTGGTACACCAGAGATCACAGCAACATATGTAGAGGAACAACCGTTCAGAGCCACAGACATCTGCCTTGAGCGAAGATACTCAGCTATTCAAGCAATAAACCTATCATCCAATTTGTAATATTGAAGTTTAGTGATCAAAAGACTATGCGTAACGACGTCAAAAGCTTTTATGAAATCCAAAAATATACAGTCAGCACTTTGCTGCTTGTCGACAGCTGAGGCAAGGTCATGAGTAAGTTCTACCAATTGCGTCATACAAGAAAAGCCCTACCGGAACCCATTCTAACTAGAATGAAGAAGGTTATTTGCAACAAGGTGAGACATGATGCTGCTATAAATCACATGTTCCATAACTTTGCATACAATACTAGTTAACGACACTGGCCTATAATTCTCAACTCTGTCCCTCTGTACACTTTTAGGGATTAGTACCACGCGGGCCAACTTTCAGACCCCAGGAACAATGCCATCCTTTAAGGAGTTTTGAAATAAACGACAAAAACATAAACACAGAGTGCCCGAACAGTTAATAAGAAAGGATGCCGGAATATCATCCGGACCACTCGCTTTCGTGTGTTTCAAGCCTTGCAATAATCTCTCGACTTCCGTCGCACTAAACACAACCTCAAGCATTTTGTCGACTTGGACAGAAAAATCATTAATTGTAGCTGCACTAGCATCTGAAAAATCAGACTAAAGTACCGATGAAAAGTAATTAACAAAAACTTTGACCTTACTCGGATCGTCAATAATAATTTTGTCGGACCAGAGCAATGGTGGAACAGAAGTGTCCTCCTTACCGTTTCTTTAAACGTTTTTACCAAAATTCCTTCGGATCGTATACCAACCTCTGGCCTAAGTGAGTGAAATATGTTTGTTTCGCTGACTCAGTGAGCTGTCTAAAACTACGTTTTAGCTCTGCTAACTGTATGTAGCGACTATCGGACTTCTGAGTCTTGCTAAGCCGATAGAGTCTTCTGATTTTTCCTAATAAACAACTGAGTTGCCTGTTAAACCACGGTTTATCTTTCGAACTTTTGGAAGAGAGTGTTCGAACGGGAACAAATTTAGCACGCAGTTCAAAAAGCTTCTATTTAAGTACTCCCAATAACTCTTTGTCGTTTAACTCATCTGCCAATGTGTCAAAAGTAGGAAAGTAAGATTCAAGAGCTAGATTTAGTGCAGCGTAGTTAGCCCTGTTATATGCATACACTGCTCTATAGGGGCTTTTTTTCCATACACACACATTTCGAAATGTAGCGTCCGCTACAATAACTTTATGATCACTTATGTTGGGCAAAGCACATATATCTGAAATAATGTTCGGTGCATCACAAAGCAACAAATCAAGCACGTTACCAGTATCATCATTACGGGAAGGATATCTTAGCAACTGATGCTGACTGTTTTCGTGCATAAATTCAAAGAAGAATTTGTATAAACCACCTGTTGTACCACCTGCGACACAGTTACCCGACCCCCAGTCAAAATCGGGAAGGTTAACATCTCCTCCCAGTATAATGCGATCAAACTGAACCGTCTCAAGAAAAGTAGTCAATTGAGCAAACTGCTGACAAGAGGCACCAGGTGGTCGATAATAAGAACCAATGAGAAAACATTGACCATTATCAGCCCGCAACTTGCAAAATACAGATTCACATTCCAAAACACAATCAACTCGAACACAAGGCAAGTCTGATCGTACGAGAATAAATACACCACCACCCCTAGATTCACGGTCCCGCCTAAAACAGTGATACCCAACGGGGAACGATTCTCTATCAAGGATAGTGGCATCGAGCCATGATTCAGTGCCTAACACAACTGCAGGCAGAACAGAACTTAACAGCAAGTGAAAGTCATCAACCTTATTTCTGAGACTTCTGCAATTGACGATGAGTAGTCTCATTTGATGCGTCACAGAATACTGCAACGGTGGTCACATTTGAATTACGTCAACTGTAGTGCTGTCAATCCGACATCGTTTATCACCCAGATATAGGGTATCAAATCTTAAAACGGATTTCTCGCCTTCCTTCCCAATATGTTTTGCGTACGCCCAAAGAATTTTTTTATCTTTTCACGAACTGTGCGTGAAAAATCTTCAGATATGCCGTATGCAGCCCCACTTAAGTTTCGTCAAGACTTGCTGTCGTGTTTTAAAAGAAGCAAATGTGACTATTACTGGTCGTATTTTATTTGCATTGTATGGCCCTATTTTATGGGCACGCTCTATGTTCACAGAAGTGAGCCCAAGTTTCGTGCGGCACAGATTAAGGATTAGCTCCTTAACCTGAGCATTAGTCTCGCCTGCCACTGAGTCCTCTATTTCGTAGAAGAGTAAATTTCCACGCCTTTGCCGATTTTCAAGGCCTTCTACCTTCCGGAGAACAAAGGACATCGCTCCTTGCTCCTCTTTTTGTTTTTACTTTATGTTATTTATTGCTATTCGCAGTTATAGGTTCGGGACATTTTTTTTTCTAACAAATCCAGGCGTGTTTTCAATTCAGTTATATCAGCATTGGTTTGTTTTTGGTTTTCCTCAGTTGCTGACAATTTGGAAATAATTGCAGCCTGTCCTTCGAGTAAGCGCTCCATCTGTGCATTTGAAGGCCCTGGGTTTCGCTCCACGTCACCCCCGCACAATAACAAGATGAACAAGATTAAGAACTGCCGTCTGCGAATCATTCTGCGCGACATCTCACGATGCGAGCACTTCAATGGCAAAGAACACTGGGGCGGAACCGGCGAAACAAAATGACACAAACCACAAATGTGGTGGGAAAAACCAACCTGCGTGAGCAGCAAAAACGGGATTAAGGGCACTGCCATGTCTCCGGTTCCATGCTCCGTCGAAGATGTGCTGCTGCAGTCTATTTGTAGCCGTATGTCACCATGCCACGCCGGCACCACCGAGTGCCCATGGTTGGCAGCTGAAATGCGATGAAAAGTCCAATTACGTCAGTGCCGGACATTTCTGTGAATTCATTGTTGCTGGAAGCAACCGCCGCAAAACTGCTTCCGTGTCATGAAGCCCGCACGCATTGTCGACGGTGGGATCAGCTGAAGCATCCCCGCCCAAGAGACTGATTACGACACGAGCCTGCGGAAGCAGCAAGAACGAGATTAAGAGCACTGCCATGTCGCCGGTTCCATGCCCGGCATGTCATGGCATTCATGACATGAAATGACATTCATGACATATATGTCATGATTTTCATGTTATGACTAGTCAAATACGTTCTTCATATAGTCATGTCATGCCATAACAAATTTGGTATCGATACCATTATCGAAACGGCCAGGAGAGCTAAAAGTCGTAGGTGGCTAGCTAGCTAGCTAGCTAGCCAGATAGATAGATAGATAGATAGATAGATAGATAGATAGATAGATAGATAGATAGATAGATAGATAGATAGATAGATAGATAGATAGATAGATAGATAGATAGATAGATAGATAGACAGACAGACAGACAGACAGACAGACAGACAGACAGACAGACAGACAGACAGACAGACAGACAGACAGACAGACAGACAGACAGATAGATAGATAGATAGATAGATAGATAGATAGATAGATAGATAGATAGATAGATAGATAGATAGATAGATAGATAGATAGATAGATAGATAGATAGATAGATAGATAGATAGATAGATACGCTCAATGTCGCCGAAGTTCGCTAAGAAATGCTTCGCATTTAAAAGTTAGGGAAGCGGAGTGCAACACCGCAACGCCACGATCCACCTAGTTGTGCCACGTGCGACAGGCGGCTGCGCAGAGCCTTAGGCCTAATGAGTCGCTCGGCAACAACCGGCATCCACCCAGCACCCAGCCTAGGTGCAGAAGAGGCAGCCGCAAGGAGACATCTACTCTGTGAGGTGGCCCTATCGCTCGCCGCACGCAGCAGCTCACCGAGCGATCGGCGTCCACCATCCCGAACGGTGTTACGACGCCCCGGCGTCGAGCCGCAATACCAGACAGCAACGACGCCCGACTATTCGTGTGCGAAGAGATAGAAGCAGCTATTTACAGAAAATCAGACCACCAACGAGGCTTCTGTACTCACTCGCTTCGGGCGTGGCCTGCAATCCACGTGCTCTAAGCTTTGCTCACCCCAGGATGCAGACCGCATGGCTCTTGTAAGCAGTTAAATAAATGTGTGTAACGTTTGGTTTGTGCCTACCGTGCCTAATGTATCCTTTCACTCCAAGAGCGTAGCATGGCGCTCGCTCACCATTTCGAGACCCCACAGCTTTCAATATTTTTATGAGGACAATTGAGGTGTTCATTAAAAAATGAAGTGTAGCTTGCGACAGCATGTTGCAGTAGCACAAACATTGCTGTGGTCGTTATATAACATTTCTTATAGTTTTTGCTAGTGTCAAGCCCCATTTTGTGGTCACCGTCACATCTCGCATCGTCAAACCCTGCACCCGTATGCCATCACTTGAACGAGCTCGAGCTGCACAGTTGTGGTCAGCGTAGCGGGAATGAGCAGCTTAGGTTATGTTTTAGAAATACGTAACAGTTTGTGAATAAGCACTTGGCGTCTTGTGTTATTAAAATGAATAAACATTTAAAGCTATTCCTGGAAGGAATATTTGTTGGTGAAGCTACAATTGCTTTTTTTTTCTTTAGCATGCAGACCCGCAGATAAGGAAGCCTGTAAGGAAGCGACTGAAATCATCAGATGATTCTTTTGAAGCTTTGCCTAGGTGGCCTTACGACAAGAACTTGTCACGAACGTTAACCGCAGCGGAACGTAGCGCTCGTGCATCTTTGAGGCGTTTCAAGATTTGTATCATGTAAAAATGTGTGCATATGATAGCGGAATCACTGTGTAATATTAAGTTTACCTGGAGGCACACACATGCTCAACAAGGGATTTTTTCGGAACTTCTGTGCTGTGATTATTGTATGAAATTTACAAAACAGCTAGGAGCTTCACATGCGAAACCGCGATACATTCATGATGCGTGGTGTAGGGGAAGCTCCGTGTTTAATATGCAAAAAATAAAGCAGCACCTTTGGCTTGGGTCTAAACGAACTGATTTGATTTTGCCTGGGCATGCGTAGGAACACAGTTTTACTGCATGTAACAATGAAGAAATAATATTTTAACAATATATTATTATATTTAATAATGCAAAGCCTTTGAGCTTGCTTGCTTAAGAGAAGTCGCTGCATGCACATCGCGACGATGTCCTTGCAGCGTCATGAATTGCCTGCTCTGAAGCTGTAATGGCATGAAAACTAAAGTGCCACAACTTAAGTAAGGCACTAGCACTGAGTTCATCTCCGGACTCTTCCCGTCAACAACAAGCAGCTGCACCAGCAAAAATTAATAAGTGCTTTCCAGTCATATGTGAATTCCACTTCGTTTGGCTTCTGGCAGACAGGAGACGTTTGCAGGCAGAGTCCGTGCACAACGACAGATGGGCTACAGGCTATCACGCCAAAAGTGATGTGTTTGGCATTCAGGACCTCTTCGCCTTCGATGAGGCATTGTATCCGAGTTTGTAAAACGTCTAGGTGGCGCATAACATCCGACAACAAACACACACACACACACACACACACACACACACACACACACACACACACACCACACACACACACACACACACACACACACACACACGCACACACGCACGCACGCACACACACACACACACACACACACACACACACACACACACACATGGGCCGCACATGCGCTCAGCGACTCCGATACTCTCTGTAGGCGCCATATTGAACCACCCTATTCGCCCTCTATACGCGACGAAACTTGTGAATTGTATTGTCGAATCTCTCTGCGTGCTAAAATCACAATACTATACTGGTAGAAATACAAATACTATAGTGGTTGTATGCGAATGGAAGCATGCTGGTTGAGTTGAGGAAACGGGGCTAAGTCTGGAGTTCTGGGAACCAATTAAAGAATACTTGCATCTGGAGAACATCAACGCTGTGCTTGAAAAATCACCACACTGCACGAATAAACGCCAGCTGTGTGAAAGACTATATTCCTATCAGCGGGATCTATTACTTTCACTACGCCGCTGCTAGCAAGCCCAAGAAATCGAACGCGCGAATCCACTGTCTAGAGCATACAAAAAATTGCCCGCAGCTTCCCTCGGGGGAACACTGAGGAGGATGCGGACCATATAATTGGTTAACGGGGTGTTAAAGTGCGACTTACTTGGGTCGATGGCTAAATTGGTTAACGTGGTTGTGAAATGGGGTGTTAAATTGCGACTTACTTGGGTCGATGGCTAAATTGGTTAACGTGGTTGTAGGAGGGGGTGTTAAATGAGTGAACACGTACACACGTATGCGAAAGGGCGGCGCTGGTCGAAGGGACGTCGATCATTGTGTTTGTGGATTCGTTGGAATTCATTTCACCGCGACCTTGGACGTCGACGCGCCGTACAAACCAACCGACGAGCGGCAACTGAGCGAGCGAGCGCCGACCTTGAGTATATATACAGCACGACGGCGCATGCACTGTCAGCTGTTGAATGTTCTCGAAGCGCGACGCCACATGCGCGTCCACTGGAGAATCAGGAGAATTGTAGATGTCGAACGCGGTGTGTAGAGGAGGAAGCGTGCACAGATGGTGGAGGAGTGAAGCGCGCGCGGTGTGTAGAGGAGGAAGGGATGCACAGATGGTGGAAGAGTGGGCGACGGCGCGACGGCGCATGCGCGCGCGTCAGCTGTCGAATGTTCGAGAAGCGGTGCGGACGGCGTGGACGGCGCGGACGGCGCACTACAAGGCGCGAGTATAAGATGCTTCCGCATCTAAAAAATTGGCAGATCCCACGTACAGTAGGAATCGATGATCAGCGAAACACGAATGAGAAAGGTTGATATGTCACTTTAAAATGAGCACAACGCTACTAAGTGGTGGTAAATGATGCCGTACGTGACTTACGTGCCATGATTATCATGTTTGAATGTGTCGTTTACCTTCGTCATCTATTCACGTCATGTGATACAAATTTAGTATATGTGGAGCTAGCGAAATGACAGCGAGCATGCTATGAGCGTGGTATGTTGCCATGTTCTCACCTAACACGCGTGTCAGGATTATCATGTTTGCACCAGTCATGCATTTTGTCATCCATTGACGTCACTTAATACCAAATTTGGTATGTGTGGAGCTAGCAAAATGTCCGCGAGCGCATCATGAAGGGCCCAATATACTCCAACGTAACGTTGACACGCGCGCACGCTGGGCATAGCGACGCTACGTTAGCAAAACGCTAGAACTCTATAGTCTGACGCCAGGTACGACCAGCGCGAAATTCGCGCCGATGCGTTACCCAGACAACACTGCGTCTCCCTCTTTTCGTGGCGGAGGGACGCCGGACGCGCTGAAAATGCGCATGCGTCAAAGCAACGCAGCACGGCGCGCGCCTGCGAGTATAATTGCAGGACGGGCGCCTGGAGTGGCAACGCTGGCGTGACGCGACTAAATGAACGCCGGCGACCACGCGCACCACCTCACGTTGATATGTATTGGCGCCTTGACTGTGACATGTAGTCCTGTTCTCACATGACACGCATCTCATGATTATCATGTTTGCACCAGTCACATAACTTCGTCATTCATTGACGTCACGTAATCTCATAATTGGCATATGTGAAGCTGGCGAAGCGGCCACGGGCGCATCATGTGTGTGGCATGTAGTGACGCTGTTACATGACACGCATGTCGTGATTATCATGTTTGGATGTGTCATTTACTTATGTCGTCCATTCGCGTCGCGTTATGCCGAGTTTGTACACGTGAAGCTAGCGAAACGGCGGCGAGCGCATCATGAGCGTAACATGTAGTCATG